TTTGAAATCCAGGCAACTTCCATTGGCCCTGAGATTTTAGCAGCCTCTCCGTACTCGTCCTACCAAACGCTGCGAAATTGTGGGCTCTTTCGAGGTCGGGAGAATAAGTTCCATTTTTTCACTGTGTTTAGCATTTTTGTTACCCACGTATAACTTGCTAGGCTGTGGACGTGGGAGCTGGGTTATTCACGGGTAGCTTACCAGGCTCTCCCAGAATGGACATAGAGCTCATTTGTTGGAGGCGACTCCTAAGCGCCTCCCATATACTTCCCAGTTGATTGGAGGCTTTTGGTCGAATTGACTCGTAGAATACAACCCGCATAAGCGATATGCATGAATAGGCCTAGCAAATACAGAAAGTATATGCCAAATCAGCGCAGGAGAAACAGTGAGTCAATCCACTGGATTCACCTGCGTCTCAGGGAAGCAAAGCTCGCTTTTGGTCTGCGATTAAACTCCTATCCGCCACCTGAGGACCCCCCACGTAGCCTCGCCACTAACTGGCTCATATGAGGGTGATCCGTGGGTTTCACATCCATAGTTTTCGCAATATCTGTATTTTCGATCGGAGAACCCAGACTGCTTTGTAACCCATTAAAACCTTTGGTGCTTCTTAAGCTTCGTTAAGTTGGAAGTTTACGCACTGGTGCATTTTGATTATCTCTTTGCAACGAGATCTTATATTTTCATAAAACTGCGCCACTGTTGCCATAGCAGGACCTGTTCCTTACCCCCTGGTAATGTTGTCTCCCACGCCAACAATTCCGAGGTTTGCTGTGGAGTCGAGTTCCTTTGGGGTCAGTAGAAATTCAGTGTTAAGCGTAAAATCTTTGACCTTTAAATTTTTTTTCGAGAGAATTATGTGAATCAGCACTGAAAAATGTGTGATCGTTGAAGAGTTTCTGAGACCACTGCTGTTGTTCAGCTGGACGCGAAGTCGTGGACTTAGTATAGCTACTTTCTTTGCCTCAAAGGTTTTTATTTGGATCACCGTGGATAGATGGCTTCTCTTTGGCTTCAAAGATCCGAGGACATACATTCTCGTTGCTGTTTCCATAGTGCATTTGGTATTTGGAAGTTTAAACTGTGTGGAATGGAGACTGTACAGGTTAGTTTAATGGCAACGTTAGTGTTTTGGGTGAAACCTAGTGCCTGCTGTTTTTTCTAATTTTTGACAACTGGATAGTTAGTGGCAAGATTGGTTTGTGTAGTTCCGTGAGAAGGATCGAATGTCTTGTTTATTTTAGGTCCTGCCAGAACGCTAGAATGTCAACCGAAGGTTATGTTGAGCTGCATTCATCAGCTGATGAATCAGCTGGTTTTCTGTCGAGAATTTTATTCTGCTGGACAAATGTGTTAATTCAGAAGGGCGGGAAGTTACAGCTGAAGTCCGTGAGTGTAATGAGTTGTACGATAACATTTTAGCTACTTCTAAAGGCGATTCCTTACCAATTATTTATTCTTAAAGTCTTCTTTTAATTACTAAGTGGTGTTATGTTAGATCAATGACGTTTTCCTCCTTCCTCCATCACTTGAAGTGGCAACTATCGAACGTGAGATGATTGAAAATTCACCAACATTCTATTCGGATGGGCGACAGTATTCTCTGTCCTCGTGAGATTATTTTGTAAATCCTGCCAATTGCGTTCTCATGCTAGTTTTGCCCATGCTTTGCTTCTTATAGGTCACTTTTATCTACTTTTGGTCTGTCGTTCTTTTCACTTGCTCTTCTACGGTTGGCTACGGATGCGTTTACTTTTGCGGGACCGATCTTACTTCATATTCTCGTCGAAATTCTGGAAAACCCCACTCCAAATGTTTGTAATTATTCCATGCACATGATGACTTTAGTAATCAAATATTGCACTAAAAAATTCCCTTGCGTGGCTCGTGGATTTTTAGCCGATAGGATTTCTATATGCTGGTCTGATGGTCGTGTGCTCCTTGTTGGCTGCTCTATTTTCAACAAATTTCAGTTTTTATGTGCAGAAAATTAGCCTGAAGTATGTTTTCTTCAATTACGGATCTGTTTTTTTTTAATCCGCTCACTGTTTTTCCTTTAGAGTCCGAGCGGCGACCGTGACGGCAATATACGATAAGTTACTAATGGTTCCTGCAAGCGAAATGAGCAAGTTTTCATCAGGTATGTACCAGTTTTTTTCAGATATGTTCTGTTTACGAAACTCAGTACTAATCGATTACCTTTGATTGATTGGTTCGCTTATGTATGTATTTCTTTTATACGACCTCTCTTTCATATCTGCTGTATGGGTCCCAACACTTCTCACATTCGATTCATTTCCCTCGTATCCATCATCCACCAAGGTCTCCCAGCTTTTACATGTGGCTTCCGACTGCTGCTTGAGGATTTCCATTTTGTCTTGAATGTCGTAGAATGCTGGTCGAGTCGATTCTCACTGGTGTCCTGACATAGCCGGGCTAGAGCGTTTCCAATTGGATTGCAGAGAGCGATTTTTTCTCACCACAACTACGACTCCGTAGGGATGAGAGACTTGGTGAGCCCAGAGCGGGATCGAACCAGCACAATACTCATGATGTCTGAGCATCACCACCGCTGTGCTATCCCCTCCTTTATATATGTATATATTTCAGGAAGCATTCTTAATTTCGTATCAACGGATGTCGATCGTATAGTCAACTTCTGCAATTCTTTCCATGCATTTTGGAGTTTGCCGGTTCAGCTAGCTGTTGCTTTATACCTACTATACCGAGAAGTTTGTTTCGATATTTGTTCTTCATTGTTGAAAACAATGTTTAACATTCCTGCACGGAAAATATAGTTCATTGCTAGTTTCAAGATAAGTACCGACGTTTTACAATTAGTACCGGAAGCGTTGAAAAATCGATCGATAGCTTGCTTTGTTACTGGACGAAATTTCGCTTATTCGTTTCGTTTTTTGAAATACGAGCATTGACCAAAATGAGAACGGTACTTCCTGTGAACTTCAGAAGTTCGGAATTTACCGAACCTTAGGTGTTAGTGCCTATCTTATCATTTTATCATCTTAAGTCAGTTGTTCACTTGTATTAGGTTGGAATGTCTTTCCTTGCTGGAGTAATGGCGGCATTTGTTCTTATTCCAATCAACAAATGGCTCACCACTACTATTGGACGTATGTCTGTGAAACTGATGCACTGCAAGGATCAAAGAATTAAGGTTTCTGGTCCGAAAATTCTTAGTTCTCATATCGTTGTGTACAGATATTGAGGGTGCTTGTGGCGCAGTGGTCGAAGGCGCTTTGCAATACACATACCGTCGATCCCGTGCCCAAGGCTCACCAAACCTTCCATTCCTCTAGGCTCGGCAAATTGGTGCCAGACTTGTCTGTGAGGATAGCACTGTTGGCCGGATGTATCGGTAGTTCACTGCGAGTAGTCGTAATTGCAAAATACGAATTCAAACACCTCCGAACGATGCCTAATGAAGTTGAGTGCGTGACGAATCCCTCAGGGATTGGTCAACACCGAGAGCTTTATGCTCTTATTCTTAAAGACGTTGATGAATAGTTTGACGGCCACACGCATGTGTATATGTTTGTATACACATATATATGTGTGTATATTTTGTCAAAGTTTTTAAATCAGAGAACTTAGCATTTATAGTATATTACATTCTTAGGTTGTTCGTGAGACGGTTGAGGGAATCCGAGCGGTTAAATCATCTGCATGGGAAGGCTTTTTCGAGGAGAAAATAAACAAACTGAGAGAAGAAGAACTTCGCTACTTGAAGGTTGGTTGAGACACTCGATATTGGCTCCCATAGTGTACCACTACCAAAATGGTAGTTTTGATGACCGAGATTGAATTCTCCTTCGATCCCAGATTCGGAAATATTTGGACGCTGTTTGTGTTTATATGTGGGCTTCTGCTCCACTTCTGATCACGATCTCAATTCTCGCAACGTATACAGTAGTGTTTCATCTAAAGCTAACCGCTGCGAAGGTTTGTTTCTAAGGTAGTTGTACTCATTTGAAATCTTAGGAGGAGATAACCATACGTAAGAAGTTAGTCGTATCCAAAGTATAGTTGTAGGTTTTCACATCTCTCGCACTCGTCAATATTCTGATCATGCCATTAAACGCATTTCCATGGGTGCTGAACGGGATAGTGGAGGCCTTAGTTTCCCTAAGGAGATTGCAACTGTTATTTACTTTGAAGAGTTTTGACGTTCATGACGTGTACAAGCTTTCTGAAGGTTATCGATTACTTCTGTAATATTATTATAGTTTTTGGCTATCACAAAGATAACTTGTTAAATGTTCCCATTGTTACTCTACGTGTTTGTAAAGGTACATTGTTTTTAGATGAAAACACTCTACTCGATGTCAAAGGGGGAAATTTTTCCTGGAGAGGATCCGAGAAAGCGGTCAGCAATGTTTCATTCCATGGAAGACGAGTAGGTGTAGTGCCATCATTGTAGATATTTTTTCGTTTCGGTTTAACTTCATCACAAGTAATTCCTTTTAGGGAAAGATTATAGGTATTTTGGGTGGTGTTGGAAGTGGCAAGTCAACTTTGCTATTAGGTAATCGTTCTAAACTTTTCTACGATTCTTTATTGACTCTATTTATAAGTTCTGTTAATTAGAGTTCAATTTTACTGTGATTTTTTTAGGACTGTTAGGGGAGACAAATTCTTCAACGGAGTCTATTCGAATTACACAGGGCAGCGTTTCGAACGGAATAGGTTATGTTGGACAGGAGCGATGGCTGTATCGAGGTTTCCATACTTTTTCCACTTTTGAAAAATATATTTCTCATCAGTGGTTGTATGGGTAAGCTTTCTTGGATTTCTTTAGGAACAGTGCGAGACAATATTACGGCTGGTAAGGAGTTCAATGCTCAGCTTTACGACTCAGTATTGAAAATTACATGTCTTCAACGAGACATTAACGTACGCTATCTTCGGATCCCAGTCGAGGAGAATCTTTTAATCTTCCCTTTTTCATTTATTCTGCCAATCATGAATCTTTGCAGTTGATGCCAGGTGGTGATCTCTATGAAATCTCGGACAGTGGAGGCACACTAAGTGGTGGCCAACGGACGAGAGTGGCGTTAGCCAGAGCTTTATATCAAGTATGGCTATTTCTTATTTCTTTGATTACCATTTGTAGACTAGCATTATCTAACTTTTACTTCTAATCTTAGTATCAAACGTCTTTGTTCATCTGGCAATGTGAACATTTCCAAGCATATATTTTTGAAGTTAACCAAGTTTTTATGTAGCTCAATGCCGAAATTTAATACCTGGCGCCTATCTGTGTATAGGATAGTCGGAAAATCTCATTTTAATGCACTTTTCCTGAACCGGGGAGTGTTTACTACTTGGAATTAGGCTTCGACATAAGCATAATGGAGATTTCCACCGTTGGTGTGTCCTTACTGTTCTTAATAAAGTGAAGCGATTTTTTTATTTTTTATTCATTTTATATGACTCGTCTTCACGTTTACTTTGCCTCATTTCCTCGCATCCATTGTCCACGAAGATCTTCCAACTTTTACGTGCGGCTTCGGTTGCTACTTGAGGATTTTCTTTTCATCTTGAACGTCGTAGAATGCTGGTCGAGCAATTCTTTCTGGAGTCCTGAGATAGCCTGACTGAAACGTTCCCAATCGGATTGCAAAGAGTGATTTTTTCCCAGACAAGTCCGGTACCAATTTCTCTACCCCGGAGGGATGGGAGGTTTGGTTGGCGCGGAGCGGAATCGAACTAGCACCATGTTCGTGATGACGGGAATCACTAACCCTGTGCTCTCCGCCCCTGAACTGAATTAAAGTTTAAAAAATTGAAAAGTAAAATTCCTGACGTGAAAAATGGTAATAGGCAGTGAATAAAAAAGTTAACACTGTGATTTCGACTCTAGCCTCAGCTCAACTGGGTTGGTTGCCGATTTGGGCTCCGATCAATCCCGATGGCCAGTGATTGCTTATGGCACGGATTGATAGAACTACTGGGGAGATAGGCGAAACGAAGGACCCGCAAGATGTTGTGGTGGTGAACGCGTTTTCCTCCGGAAGGAGTAATAGCGCGTTCCGTTCCCGCCGTAGACACCTGCGGTTCGGAGTTTTGCGAATATCTCAGCATCATTGTGGTTGTATGGCATATAATGCCGTGGCGTGAAAAGTGGTAGTAGGTAATAGATAAAAAATTTAGCATTGTGAAGCAAATTAGTTCGGACTACTTCCAGTTCCCTATGACTAATGTTTCGGCGATGTGAGTAGGTAATAGATAAAAAATTTAGCATTGTGAAGCAAATTAGTTCGGACTACTTCCAGTTCCCTATGACTAATGTTTCGGCGATGTGATCTTCTTCAGCGTAATTTTTTCTTTGTGCAATTTTTAGGGAAGCAGAACAGCTATGCGCTGTCCCGATTTAATAGAAATATTTAATAAAATGATATCAGTTTATCAGTGGTAGTTTGTAGGAACATAGTAGTTTATTGGTTGTTTCAGACTTAGCTAAAAGTGAGTCCTTACAATTTTAGCCGTTCTATTACAGGTATGTAAACCGGTGAAATTTCTACATTCACTCTTGATTATAATACATTGGTAGATATAGACATTCTTCGAACATGAAGGACTGGGCGTGATGCCTATGCAATGCATTTTATAGGACCATCTAAATTGATGCATGGGTACTTTATTATTAATTACTAACTATTATAATTATTGTTATGATTACTGTATCAATGTGTACAAACCTAATACAATTGGTATCCTTGTTTCAATCATATGGAAGGTTATATGGCTAAAAATTAATCTCTGAATTTACACGACGTTAAAAACAATTTTTATTCGCTAACATTTCGACACCTTGGTCTCCATCAGAGCCGATGACCATCGATGACTAAGACGTCGAAACGTTATCCGAATAAAAGTTGCTTATCAACCTCATGTAAGATCAACAATTTAAAACATGTTGGTTATTGTACTACCGAGGTTAAATGACGATCGGTTTGCAAAATGTCTCTGAATGTTTGGATTTCCAAATCCATTTCTGGTTTCGACTATTGCTTCTTGACGTTTCATGTTAAGGAGCGATATTCTTTCACATTCTTATTCTTCCATCTTGGCAGTTCTTATAGGAACCCTGTTTTAGTCGTGTCGTATTTTTTCCTGTAGAAGACCATGTTACTGAGCCTGAAATTCAATTACTCTAAATTAACTGCCTGAAATTTAATTACTCTGTGAATTGTCGGCTAATCTTATGTTCAGGAGAACTCCGTGTATCTGTTGGATGAGCCATTGGCTTCATTGGACCGAAACGTTGCCAATTCAATTTGGATTGGAGCAATAGAAAAGACGCTTAGAGATCGCGGTTGTCTCGTAATAGTAGCAACGCATGATAGAAGCGTACTTACCAGAACAGATGAAGTTATTGTGTTAGGAAACGATGGCAACGTTATGAAACAAGGTGGGTTTTTTGACATGATTGCAGTTTTCCTCTGTTATATTATCTTTACAATGAGGCTGGATATTTGCAAAACTCCGGACCGCAGGTGTCTGCGGTGGGAACGAACGCCCTATTAGCTTCTTCGGCAGCTATCGCTTTCGCCAGCACATCATGCTGGTGCTTCGTTTCGCCTGTCTCTCAGCTAGTTTTCTACCGATTAATGCCATCAGCAATCACTACGGGATTGATCTAGGAAGCACTAATCGGCATAGAACCCAGTTAAGCTGAGGCTGTAGCTGAAATCAGAACGTTAACTTTTTATCCTAACACATCCCTAACACAATTATTTTGTGGCGGGGTATTATATGAAGAACAACCACAGTGATGCCGAGATATTTGCAAACTTCGGCAGGTGTCTGCGGTGGGGAATGGACGCGCTTATTACCTTTTCCGTATGCTAACGCGTTCACCACTACACAATTCTGGTCCTTCGTTTCGTATATATTATCTCTATTTGGTTGTCTTTCCGTATTTAAGCGCTGCCTAGAAAACTGTTATTTGGTATTTTTCAAGAATAATGAAATCGAATTTTTAGGAGCCCCTAAAGAAGTTCTTAGTGAAGAATGGGCTCAATTTGATACAGATGAAGATGAGTCAAATTCTGTAGAGGAGTCGGATCGTATCGTTCTGCATGAGGAGGAAAGACAGGTTCGTTTTTTTGCAGGTATTCCAGTGCTTCCAAATAATCTCGATTATATGAAATGATTTGACTTAAGGTTGGCACAGTAAAAGCTTCAGTTGTGCAGAGGTACATTGAAGCCACTGGACGTATTTTAACTGCCTCAGTCATTGTTGCACTATTCTTGATGCAGTTCTCCAAGAATACAGCGGACTGGTGGCTCAGCCGGTGGACTCAGGCTCAACATAACATTACCTCTCTGTTAGAGGATTTTCTAAAGGTTTCTGCCTACATAGCCTGAAGTTTCGACACTTTTTTCCAGACTTCTTCGTGGAGTGCAAATGGATCGTTCTGTGCGCTTCTTGATGATTTATGCAGTAATAGCAACAGCGAATACCATATTTACTCTCATTAGGGCCTTCCTGTTCGCCTTTGGTGGGATTTTGGCAGCTAAACACCTTCATATGGAATTACTTCATAAATTGCTCAGGGTTAGATTTGGAAACTCTTTTAGCGGTTTATCAATGAACATTTGTATCAACTAGTAAATATTATTTCGCCATATTGCCATATGTTTCTGTTATTTGCAGACCTCGATGTCTTGGTGGGATCGCACTCCCTCTGGACGCGTTATCAATCGCATCTGTTCTGATGTTTACACTTGTGATGACAACTTGCCATTCCAGGTTTTCACTGAGCTTTCTTTTCAATTGGTTCATTATTCGTTTCAAGTCCTGATACAAGCCGAACAACGCTGTGAAAGTGTAGGCTGAGACGGTCAAGTCTAGGCATCAAATTGAGGTCAATGTATGATACAACCACAATGATACTGAGATATTCGTTCGCAAAAACTCCGGACCGATATACTGCGGGTTGTGGTTGTATCGCACATAAAACCCTGCCCTGAAAAATTGTAATGGGCAGTGAATAGAAATGTTAGCATTAAGAAGCATTAAGATCAATGTAATTTGAACTCTCGGACGTTAACCGCGTAGAGGTAACACACTAAGACCAGGGTCGAGCATGAAAGCTGACATACGTCACTCTTCGACGAGAGCTAAGCATACTAGAATTTGTCCTTCTGGAGATAGAAGTGGAAAATTGGTCCAACCATAGAAATACGTTTCAAATGGGAATCATGCTGAGTGCCGTTAACATAACTTCTTACTTTGTAAGTAAATAACGAGATATTCAAGGTGGCAGAAGTATTAGGAAGTAACAAGAAGTCTCTCTTATGTGATTATTTCCTATGAGATGGGGATAGCGCAGTGGTTAGTGGTGCTGTTGGTCAGGAGGTCATGGTGCTAGTTCGATTCCCTGTCCAGTGCTCTTCTCCAACCTAGGTGGGAAAACCTTAGCTCGGTTATTTCCAAGGTTGGAAGGAGAATCGAGTCGACTGGCATTCTGAGACATTCATAGAGTAGACGAAGCAGCAGCCGAAACAACACACGAAATATTCGACAACCTTTGTAGACAATGAATGAGAGGTGAACGAGTCGAATGCAAGAAGTGCTGGGATCTGCACCATAGATGGGATGTCGGATTGTGTAAAAATAAAAAGATAGGAAAAGCTTCTATTCATGAGCTTTTTTTCGTGTTCATAACTATAGGCAACTTTTTTTCACCATTGGTTGTTTCATAAAAGACCAACAATTTGAGTGCTGTTAATGTTTTAGCTAAACATCCTGCTCGCATCCTTTTTCAACCTTCTTGGTACTCTGGTGATTACAGTTATCGGGCTTCCACTCATGTTCCCAGTCTTTGCGCTGTTGATGACACTTTATTATTTTATTCAAAAATACTATAGGTGAGTTTTAATTCGGCTTTATATGTACAGTTGGCGTCATATATTTAGTATGTATTCCTGTAAAGAAGCAGTTATTCTTGTTTTCTTCATCTATTTTGTACTCAGACTTACCACCGTCGAGCTGAAACGCCTTGCCTCTCTGAGTCTTTCACCGTTATACTCTCATCTGGGAGATACAGTGAATGGATTACCTACGATTAGAGCTCAACGTTTTGTAGAAAGGTAATCACAGTATTCTTTGCTAAAGCACGTTGTACCTTATTTTATAGCTGAATTTCTCATATATGATATTTTAGCTAGTTTTGATGATAGCTAAAGTTTTGAATCCGATGGAACATTTTTGTGAATGGCGCTTTATGCGTAGTTCATTGTATTTCCACCCAAAGTCTTAGTGGAAGGCGTTTCTTTCTCCTTTCCTATCGTAATATGGTTTTTTCTTTCAGATTTGCCACAGCTTTGCGTGAACATCTGACTGTGAACATGCGCGCCCAGTACTCATTAATCGCAGCTGGCCAATGGCTATCGGTTCGACTTTCTTTTATTTCCATAAGCATTGTCGCTACGATCGCAATGACGGCAGTCGTACAGCATCAGATGAAAGGCGTAGATTCAGGTTCGTTCATTAGAATGGTGGTCGAGGTTTGTAAACATTTTCTGTAAGATCCTTACATTTTTGCGCAGTATGTTTTTGCCATATGTAGAATCTTTTTCTCTCATTTCAAATCCCTGTTTAGGCATGATTGCGCTAGCAATAACGTACGCTTTGTCGCTAACTGGTCTTTTAAATGGCTTATTGGGTTCGTTCATTGAAACTGAGAAGGAGATGATTTCTGTGGAGAGGATCGATGATTACCTTACAAATGTACCATTGGAGGAAGATTATGGAAAAACTATGGTAAGTTAGTGTACTAGTACAGTGATGCTGGCCCGTGTATCGCAGTGATCTGAGGCGCCATGCAATATACGTGGGATCGATTCCTGCGTCCGTTGCTCACAAAGCCCTCTATCCCTCCGGGTTCGGCAAAATGATACCAGATCTGTCTACTGTGCTATCTAGGGGTTAACAGCATTGACTGGATACATCGGTAGGCCACTATGAGTCATTGTAAAGGCCAGATATGCATTCATTCATTTCCAAGATGCTTAATGAAGTCGAATGCATGACGCATCCCTCAATTATTGATCAACGCCGGGAACTTTATCCTTTATCCTTTTACAGCGACATTGAAATATTTGCAAAAATGCTGATAGCAGCGTTAGGACAAAAAATTTGCTGAGAGAAAGACAAATCGAGGGCCTTGGTGGTGCCAATAGGTAACACATGAGCTCTCGGAAAGAGTAGTTATGGGTTCTAATCTACCCCGATGTTCGAGTTCTGCAAATGTCTTAGCATAATTTTGGTTGTATTCCACATGATAAGGTGCCAGAATAAATGAGTAGTAAGTAAAAAGTTAAACACAATGTGTTAGTAAACGATGGATTGACTATGACTGGCTATAAAAAGGAGCGGATAGCCAAATGGTAGTGATGCTGTTCATAGTGATCACGGTACTGGTTAGATCCTACCCTTCATCAACCTTCCCACGTCAGGAAATTGGTGCCGGACTTATCCGAGAAAAATTTTCTGCAATCCATTTATAAACGAACTATCCCGGCCATCTCAGGACTCGAGTGAGAATCGACTCAACCAGCATTCAACGACATTCATAATGAAAGAAAATTCCTCAAGGAGCAGCCAAAGCCATATGTTTAAAGTTGGAACGTCTTCGTGTAGGGTGGATGCGGGGATATAAATCGTGTGTGAGAAGTGCTGGGATCTGCACAGTGGATATGAAATACGGCTCGCATGAAAAACATAAACTAAAACAATATGTCGTAATGTCGTCATTTTTATTAGCCGCCTACTATTTTTTAATGGCAGGGTAATATATGAAATATAACCATAATGACGCTGAGATATACTCCGGACAGCAGGTGTTTGCGGCGGAGAACGAACGCGCTATTGTCCTGTCCGGGAGCTAATGCGTTCACCAGCAACATTATGCGACTTCTGCGTTTCACCTTTCCCTCAACCGTGTTACTGACCTGTGGGTGCTATCAGCAATCATCCGTCAACGGAATGGACCTAACGCGGCTGAGAAAAAGGCAAAACGAAGGGCTAGCATGGTGTGGTGGCGGGCTTTTTAGCTTGCGGAAAGGGTAATAGTGTATTCTGTTTCCGCTGCAGACACCAGCGGTTTGGAGTTTTGCAAATATTTCCTCCTCGTCATGGTTGAAACTATATAATTTGTTTACCACTGATTATCAGAGCCATTTACAGTTGCTTTCTTCTGCTATAGTACCAAAATGTCGTACAGCGTCTGGAAAATTCTTTGTTCGATAAGAAATATCCTGTTATTTGAAAGATATCGTTTGAAAAACTATTGAAATTTTGTTCTGCATGTTCGACTTTTTCAAGTAATTTCATGACGATTCAGTATTTGATAGTGAATAAAATTATATTTATATATAAACTCTATTGTTGCTAAATTCTTGACTAAAATTATCCATGTATCGAACTGCGGTGTACAGCGGAGATTCGTCTCCAGCAGTGCTATCCATGCTCGTAACTAGTTCGACGTTTCAATCTAAGTGCCCAGCTAAAACAAACCTGTGCCACGGCAATGCATGGAGGCCTTCTAGCGCTCTTCATGTCTTCATAGAGCGGAGTATATTGTACACTTTTGGATTCCAATGTAGAAGAGTGTAGACTTTCTGGACTTAGTCAATGACTAGAGTGCTCCAGTATTGCTAATTATTTTTTTATAGTTTAAGATCGGTCGCTATTACGATAACGTACGTTTGTTAGTTATGTTTTTTGGCTTCAGATCACTGACATATCTGGACATATTGAATTTAACAATGTTTCACTGCGATATAGCGGGTACATGCCGTTTGCTTTGGACAACGTCAGTATTTCGGTTCCAGCAGGGCAAAAAATGGCCATAGTGGGAAGAACGGGAAGCGGAAAGACTAGTTTGTTACAGGTGTTAGCTGATTTAACTTTAAATGCACTGTTTTCATTTGCAATAGGTCTGGTATCTGCATTCGTTATATCTTACTCAAGTTTGGTTTAAGGCGTTGCTTCGGATGGTTAACATTGAATCAGGTGAAATAAAGCTGGACGGATTGAATACTACATTAATTCCTCTGAACGTGCTTCGGCGTGTATTCGGAGTAGTACCGCAGCATCCATTTATATTTAGGTAGTTTTCCTCTTGTTTCTTCCTTTAAAATCCCTTCTTCTGGTTTAGTGACGGTGATTAAAAATATTAAATAGTGGAGTCATGGAGAAAATCCATAGTGCGTTCGATCATTGGAGTTATATTTTTTCCCATTTTATTCTTACGGAATATCTGCAATGAGGTTAATTTCTTACCCTCAGCGGATCCCTGTACGAGAATCTCACTGTTGGCTGTGATAGCGTGGAAATGCATCAGGTTGCCAACATAACTCATCTTGCTAGCCTAGGTCAGTTTACTGTCCTTGGTGCCTTTTTTCTTTGTTTTACTGCTTAGTGATAAACGTTGGTGAAATTTAATACACAGATTCTCTCGTGACTCGAATTGGTGGGTTAGACGGGCATATTGAAGAGGGTGGTAGGAATCTTTCATTCGGTGAGCGGCAGATCATTTCAATTTGTCGTGTGTTATTGGCCAAAGCTAAGGTGGGTTTAGTGTTTCATCTGGATTAACAGGAAATGCTTAAAACTGTCGAAAAAATGAAACTAAGCCTGAGAGTTTGATTTTCGAGCGCATTAGTTTTTATAATCCGTATTGCAATTTTGAATTAAGTTTAATGACTTATTATTCCGTTTTCTTCGGAATTTTCTTTCGACTTCGTCCAGCTTACAAAACGGCGTCTGCCATCTGAGAAGATCATCAGCCCGCGTTTCCTGACCGTATATCTCTTGGCCGTTTTCTCAGTCGCTTTGAAGTGTAATGTATTCCTTAGACCTTCGCCTGAGAACGGATCTCGGGCATTTGTAAGCGGCGGAATGAAAACAGTCGTCTGACAGTATGAATCAATTGGAGTAGTAGTCTCTGCTGCCACCGTTTTTTTTTTTTTGTAGACACTTTTTATGGTAATAAGTTTAATGAGCTAATTTAATTTACTCCAGTTTTACTTTTTAAATTTAGCAATTTTCTTTTTTCAATTTCCGAACAAGGTGTTGTTAACGTTTAGATTGTACTTATCGATGAAGCGACGTCTCACCTCGATGAAGCAGCGCATAGAAGAATGTTGTCGTTGATAATGAATTATCTGCCAGATGCAACACTGATTTGCATAACTCATATACTTCATGGTTTGTCGGAATTTGATGCGGTAGTCGAAATGGCAAATGGGAAAGTTGTTGGTATCAAATCACCTCAGGAAGAGGTTTCGCCTCATGTTCAAACCTAACAATGTAGAGAGTCTCCAATGCTTATCTCTCAAAGAGCTTCTTATTCTGGTATTTTGAAATGCAGTTATTTGACCTTCGTTACGTACTTTACTTTTCATTCTTCTCTTCTCAAACGGGCTTTTTTTGATTCGAGATTGTATGGGATGGTTTTCACAGTTCGTCCGAGGATGTTTCTTATTTCGTTTTTCGATTTTCTCAGTTCCTTTAAGGATATTTTTTTGTTTACAATAAGCTAAAGCCTTGTGTTATAGTGATTTCAACTTATTTTGTAAAGGTTTTACTTTATAAGTAGCCTTCGGTATGGGAAACAGTTATTCCTATGAGCGATTTTGTTAATTATAGGTGAAATTTTAGTTAATTCATATATCATGTGCTGTTCCAGACCCTTCGTATTGTTCTTATTAAAGCTGTGGTTCGCTTCTCGAGCCAGGTTAACCATTAACTTGATATTTTTTTACTTACAAGTCATATTTTCTGTACCACTGTGATAATGTTTCTGTTTAATAATTCTTGCAAATTGGTTTTCAATGTGCTTTATAGGTAATGCTGTTGCAGATGTTTTTTGCAGATTTCAGCTAATGACTTTTCGTTCTTATGGAGAAAAGCCCTGTTATATGTAGTAAGGAAGGGGTTATGCATAGTACAAATGCGAAATGTTGACCAAGTTTTCGAAATCTTCGAAGCGATTAATGTTTGTGAGCATCTAGAAGGCGCTGTCTCAAGACTATTAAGTCGTAGCTGAGTAATGAAGTATTCCCATGGCGCCCCTTTACTTGAATCTTTAAGCAGATTTCAATGAGATACACGATTACTACCACAAATTGTTCCCGAACCAATCCCGAATGTTGTGCTTTCATTACTGACTATAGTATCGTTTGCACAGCTACTTGAATTTGATTAAATGACTCATCAAAGTTTTGTTATCTTCCCTTCTCTGGTACTAAAAATAGGTTGAAATTTGAGAGTAACGGTAACCTGATAGTAGAGGTTCATCTTGGATGCGTTCAGTAAATACTTCTTGCCTTATTACTGGATGCCGGAAAGAAGTAATATGTGTATATGCCTAATTCTAATAAATTAGTACCATCATCCTTAAGATATGACTAAAGGAATGCACGCAAACATTAAAAAGTGGTGACACTTTGGAGAGGTGTTAGAATTATAGCACGCACCTGTTTTCCAATTAATGGCGATGAGAATCTTTTCGGTTACAGCAATACCAGAACTCATTTTCTTTTGATAAGGACAAAAGGTTAAATCTCTCGGTCAATTCCTGAGGTATGCGCCATGCATTCGACTTCATTAAGCATCGCTGGATGTGACTGAATGATTAGATGAGCGTGGTACGCCAGGATCGGTCCCAAGTGTATTGCAGGGCGCCTACGACCACTGCGCTACACGGCTACTTTTCCTTTTGATGCCGGTATACTAGGATAATTATTATGTTTATATTATAGTTATAGTATAAGCTATTTATTACATTTGTGGGTTCTTATGAAGTATGTTCATGCTCATGTTCACTTAGATCTATAGTGCGTCATAGAGATAGTGATTTCATGAGTAAACTATTAGCTTGTTAAAATGGAATGTAATCTGGAGGAGGTAGTGGATTGCTCAGTGATGAAGTTCATCACAAAGCAGTGGAAACGGCTTAGGTCAGCTCTCCAAAATTGCAAAGGCAATCGACTTGATTAGCATTCTGCGACATTCATAAACAGGACGAAATTCTCAAGCAGGGACAGAAGCAGCGTGCAAAATGTTCGAAGACCATTTTGGACAACAAATGAGAGGAAAACGTATCGAATGCGGGAAGTGCTTGGATCCGCACAGTAGATGTGATGACGTGACATTTCATAATCATGTAATAGAATATAATATAAAATTGATAGGCTCATGTGGGGGAATGGTAGGAGGTGCGCTAAAATATACATTTTAGTCGACCTCTGGTTCGATCACGCACTCCAAGCTCACTAAACCTTCCAATCCGGGGTATACAAATCGGCTCCAGATTTGTCTGTGAGGATGAGAACACAAGCATGATACATCGTAAGGTACCCGAAAGTCACTGTATAGGCCAAATACATATTCAGTCAGCTCTAAAGACGCTTAATAAAGCCGCATGCATGACCCATCCCTCTGGAATAGATCAACGCCAAGAGCTTCATCCTTTATCCTCATAACAGTGCTAGCGAGTAATGTAGTAATGAGTCTGCATTAACTTTAGATGGATATTCATTTTGTTGTCAGGCTGACGTCTTTTGTTTCGTAGCCATGCAGAAACACCACTGTTCACTGAGTTCGACATCGTTTTACGGATTTTCAACTGGCTTTTCAATTGGTTCATGGATTTTCATCAGTTTTTTTTTCCTTAAACTATTGTATCCATTATGTTCCACTGCTTCGACCTGTTTTAATCTCTTAACATCATTCATTAGTGAAGTAATCGGTTTCATTACGTTCACTGTAAAGTCCAACTTTATCTTTAAAAAAAGTAAAATAAAGTTTATCTTAAATACTTTAGTAAATTCATAGTGTTTCTCCGCATTTTCTACATGAATATCCTGCTATCCAGTATGTTTTTCTTTAGTAGATTGTTGTTTTTTGGTAAAGCCTTACCTAATAGAAGGGCCTTAGGGACTAAATAAAATATTTAGATACAAGAGATGTTTAAACTTTGATTTGTTTCTCCGACAAGTATTTATCCCCGTGAGATTTAATTTTTTGAGTGAACGGCAAACATTTTTTTTTACTGAGGAAACGTTGTATGTACAGGATTTTATCTATTTCGTTCCTTAATGTTTTACTTTTGCCTGTTGCGTCTACAGATATGGCTGTTTCATCTGTAAACAAACCAAATTTGAAGAAGAAGGAAATGTCTCTAAATATCCTTAATGTCAAGAAGAGAGGAATATTTTCCATCTGGAGATTAGATACCATATATAGTTAGCAGGTAAAAAACTAACAACCTAAAAATGACTGCCTAGTAGTCGCTTTTTCATGTACCGCCTATTAATTTGAGGAAAAAAACGTCTCTGGAAGTCCTTAATATCATGGAAAAACGGACATTTTCCATCTAGAAGTGAAGTATCACATGAAGTTAACAATTTAAGAGCTAACAATCTAAGAATAAGTACCTAGTCTTTAATTTGCGCTCGAGAGACATCAGAGTTGTGCCCATTAATTTTTTAGTTCTCCCTTTTCCGTTTATAATATCAATACTATAAGTAGCTCCGCCCCACCCCTACTCTTTCGAGCACTCTTCTTCCTTCCTGTGGTTTACGTCCTCATGGTGGCTATAGGATTTTGCTGTGTCGTACTGCGATCTATGGCCTAACGTTCATTTCTCCTCCATCTGGAACCTCACTTGGAAGTATACCTTTGCTAAGTCAAAGTCGATCATGCTGCATAGCGACGCTCTTGCTAAAAAGTATATTTAAAAAGATCTGCCTGCTGAGTAACAGTGGTACTCGATGAAGACGATTGTAGTTTAGTGGGCCCTAGTTCGAGTTACTCGATAACAAACGTGTTTGCAGATGATATAGATGGTCATGAGAATGCATTGAGGTCTACTAGAGTTTACACCTGTGATTTGATCCAAATTCTGATATCTTCCATTTTTCTTTTCTTCTTCTTCACTAGCAATCTTAAGACTAAAGCAATATTTCATTCTCTTCATCCTTTCTTTGTTTTCTTTCTTACATTTTATATTGGTCAGAAATGAAATATCAGTACAAAATTTAGGAATGAGTGGTCGAAGAAATGAAACAACAGATTAGATGGGGTTTTTTCGATTTCTATACTAGTTATGAATAAAAATGGCGTTTTTAAAGGAGCCACGTCCAACCTCTTCAAATATTGTCGTATTATAACTACAGTGATGCTAAGATCTTTTCAAAACCCAGACACCAGGCCAGATACGAACACGCAGCTACGCTTTCCGGGTCTCGCGTCATATCCACTGCACCACAAAATCTCTTGATTTGCAGTGTTAAATATTTATTCTCTGCCTACTACAATTGTCTACCAAGTCTCCTATCCCTCCGGAGTCGACAGATTAGTACCAGATTTGTCTAGGAGGATAGCAGCACTAGCTTGATACTTCGGTAAACCACCGCGAGTCATTTATAAAAGCCAGCTATGCATTCAATCACTTCCAAAAGATGCTTGATGAAGTCTAATGCGTTGCGCTTCCCTAAGAGCTTGGTCAACACGGAGAGCTTTATCCTTTTTATCCTTCAGTGGCTTTTCTGAGTATCAGAACTTTTGAGTTTTATTTACAGCTAGTTTTAATACTGTTCATTCTTGTAACACCTGGTAATCATCCAGTAAATAAAGCAGGCACCAATAAACCACATTCGTTCCAATCGCCCATCACAGTTGCTCAGCGTAGTTGTCTCCGACAAAACGATGGCTCTTTGGGCTTTAGCATAACATAGATTTACTTCTAGCTAGCATCTGAATAGAGGTGCATGGAGCCTTCTAAGCATAACTATGAGCACCACTACTTCATGTGCAGACTTTCCGTTTCGTGTTCCCCCGTCACTAGCTGCAATGTTACAGTAAACTATTTTAGCATAGAAATACTTGGTGCTTAGCATTTACTGTGGATTTTTAAAGTTGTTTTCATCGAATTTATGATGAATTCGAAATGTTGGAAAAGGTTTTTGAATACTTGTTGCAATCTTTAACCTTCGTCTTCATCAACGACTTGTTCACCAACATTTAACGGAAACACACTTTTTTGCACAGACTTCTCGCTTACTAATCTTTTATTTACCATTTCGAAATTCGTACAGATCGTAGTTGTTAGTAAAACATAATAAGTGAAGAAAAGGCAAGCAAAAGTAGCGTTCAAACAAAGACAAACGCGCGAATATTTGCAATTCCAATCTTGTTTCTTTACGATCGGTGATCTAAGAAGATCACAGCGGTTAAGCTCCTTATAGTGGCCTAGAGGGATTCATGGGTGTCGCGCTACGATGGAGAGCGGAGAGATCCATCCTCCCAGCAGGGTCACCCAGCTGCAAAGAAGCCCGACGTTTCTATCAGGAAACCCAGCTAAGAGTATAAACCAATACTAGGATCCACCACCGTCCTGGTATCGAACTAATCAGATCATGGTAAATCTCCTTCTGATCCACACGGGTGGGAACTGCTTACTGTTTGTGGTACTGACGACCTAAGGCAGCCTTTGGTTAGACTGACTTCGGGACTCCATCGAACCACAATGGTTAAGTAAGCAAAACTCCGAAAAAGTAGAAATTATGCTCGAGCCCACGCAGCCATTGAAGACGGCTCGTCGAAGTATCCACGATCTAAGAAGATGGTCGGTTACTTTTATGGTAGAATATGATCGAAAAAATAGGCATAGATGAGCATGAATAGACATGCTCTTCACATTTTTTAGCATGTTGACTGAAATGGCGATGATTCTAGACAATTCCGAAAACCAGTGTGGCACACCACACATGGTCGCCTATTCTCGTGCACCGGAAGGAGATGTGCTAACTTGCTTCCATTCAGGGTGAAGATTTCTGGCCCAGATATACTATTGACTTGACTTCCAGACTGAAGTGTTGTGTTCGTATTCAACTAGCATGACCATATTTGATTATGGAAGATTGTCTAGACACTATACTAGAAGCCTAAGATGTTGCTAATCTATCTCTTGTTTAGTTTACAGTTATTACTTGCCAGTTTAGCAAAATAGTACTACTTAGTTTTAACCTTTTATTTATTGCATGTTAGTATTTTTCACAGCAATGTATGATGTGGAATCAACCGCTATGATGCTGAGATATTTGCAAAACTTGGACCCTGGCCAGATCGAACCGCGATTACTCTTTTCGGTGGCAGTAAAATAAAAAAATATGCGTTGTGATTTCGACTACAGCTTCAGTTTACTTACTTGGATACTTGAACGGTCCGTCTTCACGAGTTGTGCGGACTCCAGCACGTTTACCACTCATCAGTTTCCATCGCAGTCGTCGTCATGTTGGTGGTTTTGTTCGAGAATGGGGCGCGTGCGAGTCTCATGCTATGATCTGTAGAACAACTACAACTGCGAGTACATCCGACTAACTTTCGTTACGAACACGTCCGCCCAACGTTTAGGTGGCCTTCCTTGGGGACGCCTGCATTCTCGTGGAGTCCACTCTACAGTTCTATTCGTCCATCTGTAGTTCGTTTTTTTCATTATGTTACTGGCCTGTCTATGTTTTGTTAATGATGTATATTCTCCTGGATCTCGAAGATGTGGCAGTTTCCGAAGATCAGAGCTTCGCATTCCGGCTAGATATTGAGTGGCGGCTATATTTTAGAAGTCATCGTACAAGCGCTCTGTGAGTAGTTCGAAGCATTCTTGACGTAGTTGAAGTATCAACCCACGCCTCTGTAGCACAACTGAGCACTGGGTGGGCCGTTGGGTCGGCAAAGTGAGCGCGGATTTTCGGGTCCTTCAGTTGGTCGGTAGCTTTTTTGATAGTCTCAAATGCCGTACAAACTGCTGTCCTTCTGTTTAATTCCTCCTTCATGTTGTTTTCTATGTTCATGGATCGCCCAAGGTATACGTTCGAGATGGTCTCTGTAATCAGAGAGCCATCTAGTTAATTTTCTTCGCCTTCTCACCGTGGATTTTTCATGAACTGGATCTTCATCCGATTGGTGCTTGGTCCGATCTTTTCCCCGCTTCCTTGAGCTCATTAATCATCTTCTTTGCTTCGCTGGTACTTCTTAGGAGGATGACGATGTCGTCGGTGAAACGAATGTTTGATTTTGCCATCAATACGTATGTCTTTTTCATCCTAATCAAGTGATTTCATTATCCACTTCAGTGCGGGACTAAACAACTTTGGTGTTATTGTGTTGCCCTGTCATACCTCTTTTCTTGTGGGTATGGTTAGAGGTCAATGGAAAACCTGTATTTTCGTAGTTCGGTTCCGATAGGAGTCAGACAGAGGTCTTATGTAGTGCAAATTCATCCACTTCTTAGTCGACTGGCGCTTGTGGGATTGCATTCGTTCCGACACTGTGAAGCGCTTTTTCATGGTCGACAAAGGTTAGGACTAGAGGCAGGTGGTATTCTCGACAAACATCCATTACCGTGGACACGGTTTGGATGTGGTCCATGCAGCAAAATCCTTTTCGAAATCCTGCTTGCTCGATTATACTCAATTAGAGATTATTCATAGAAATTGGATATTCAGTTTGCAACTGAATCAATTCGTCGTACGAAACAACTTGTTGTTACAGTCTGGCACAACGCAAGTGTTGAAGAGATATCTATGTTTAAGAGGTTCGGGGCCATTTTGATTTCTCGATAGCTACTGTTAATTTTTCCATATTTAGAGTATTTAGTACCTTGAAGATTTGGTGGTATTATAGGAAAGAGGCTTCGATTTTCGAGTTATTGAAACTAAAATTTTATAGAATAGGCTTTTAGCTTTTTGCCGTTTTGGGAGTTTTGTGCTTCGCTACAATGTTCATTTTGCGCGGACAGTTTTTTTTTCTGTTAGGTTTAATAATAACTTTAGGGAACTAAACTGTTCTGAACTCCAGTTTATAATTTTCACCTCGATTTACCGATAGTCTATTGTTTTTCTTCATTTTTCCTATTTTCGCATTGGTGTTCTCAACGACGCATCACTGTTCTTTGCAAGTCCGGTCCTCCAACCAATAAAAGAGCAGGTGAAATTATAATTTGTCCCATGTAGGTGTTTGTGAGTAGTTTTTGAATGAGCCGTTGTCGTTAAGCTTTCTTTTTGAAAGACCTAATTTTGCAGTTCAACGTGATCATTTCATTACGTACGTTTCTGTTTCTTTACAAGAAAGTATCAAATGACTCGTCTAATTGTTTATGGCATAGTGCTATCAATGGTGCGATTTTTATCACTATTCCATTTTTAGAGGCGATTTCTTCTTTGCGGACTGGGCGCTGGACCACATGTATGTTTTGCTCCTTTAAATCAGGTTAGAATATGATCGAGCTTGCAGTCATTTTTGATATAATGCATGAATGGCTTTATTTATAGCTTTCAATAGAGGAAGTGATACTGAGATCATTTCCTTTGGCAAGCGCACCTTTACATATTATCTGTGAACCAACACTTCATTTGTTTCGTTCTAGTACAGTCTTGTGGCTGGTCCTGTGCGTAGTAAAGACTGTGAGTTCTATTCAATGATAGGTGAATGATTTCAAGTTATGAATACAAGTGTTGGAGATGCGTAACATAAACGCCCGTCCATCTCGTAAGTTTTTACCCTAGACGACGTTTGCATCCCATTAGGCTCTACTCTTAGCTTCTTCTTGTCCATCTGTCGTCTTAAATCTATTCATAGTAGCTTTACAGCCCATCTATGCATTTTTTTCGATACATATTCCATAGTCTCCTAATACGAGTCATGCATGAGGTGATGTCTGACGTCCATGAGAAGCCAGCAGAAATTGCTAAACGGCGATGTAGGTTACGCAAAGAACTCGTGAAACGGGGTGAAGTGTTGACTGATATCTCAACTACACAAAAGATTACTGGGAGGTCTACTAAGTCAAACAGGTGAACACGGATTTTTGGGTTTGTACTTGGTCGGTGTCTTTTAAAAGAGCTTCCAGCACGGTCCATGCTGCTCTCCCAGTAATTCCTCCTTTGCGTAGTTTTATATCCTTTGTATTCGCTGAAGAACCAGGGATTTCTTAGACGCCGTGTCGATAATGGAAGTATCATTCAAGTCGATTTCTTTCTCGTCACGTCATGACTTTATTACGAAACGGGTTTCCTTTACATTCACTAGTATTTCCTTTTTTACCTTTTTCGTTGAGGTTTTCGAAAGAGTAAGAATGTCATTGGCAAAAGTAATGGTTATTTGGTAGATTAACAAGATTCAAAGACATAAGGAAGACGAAAATCTTCAAGTAGCAGTCGAGGCCATACGCGAAAATTTCGCATGTGAATGCCGGGATTTGCACAGCGTGTGGTGTTAGGTCACTTAAATAAAATTAATCGGTCACCTTTCTTGGGCAGGGTGACCGTGCGCGACGTCCTCATTTGATCTGCGATTTTTTTCTCTTGAAGGTAGGCTGTCATATAGTTTGCGAGATGTCCATTTAAATTGTAGCTTCCAGTTCTAAGGAAATCGGCGGTGATATTATCGGGTCCTGGAACTGTGCCTATTTTCGTGCCTTTTATCGCAACTCGAACCTCCGACAGAAGAATTCCAGGTGGTTTTTCTCCAGCGGGTACTACAAGGTCTGGGACCGGGATTGTAGAAGGGAAAAGGTTGGTGTAGAACGTTTCCGTTACTAATTCCATATCATGGCGGAAATTTTTGACGATCCCATCTTCGTTCATCAGGGCCAACAGCGGAGCATTATGAACGCACAGGTTCCGACGACGTTTTTTCAGGCTGCTTCTTTTCTCTGCTGCTTCCCGATGAAGGTTTTCCTTCAAAATTTCTCTGCAGCTGGCATTTATTTCTAGCCGTGGTAAACGTGTTGCGGTAGGATTAAGCTTCAATTTTCTTCTCCTTTCGAGCAACTGTTCAGCGGTAATGGGGACGCAGTATGGTCTTCTTGCTTGAGGAACTAAGGCGAATTCGGCACAACTTTTCTGCTCAGAATGCTCTCGTCATATACAACTAGATTTTTTTCGTCTTGGTGGATGACATGGATTCTTCTCCAACTTACAGATGAATTGAATCTTTACGTGAAGAAGGCGATGATCGGAACCACTACTGAATGACAGGACTACCGATGTGTCAAATATGCGCCATCTTCTGCTTGTCAGAATATAGTCGATCTGCGCATGAGTAGTGCCGCTAGGACATTCCTATGCCCAGTGGCGGTTTTCTTTCTTCTGGAAAAGCGAGTTTCCGGGGAAGACACGTGCTGGAGAAAGGAGTTCTGCGAAATGGTTTCCATTCTCACTTTTTTCTCCTGATCCAAAATTTCCCATCCTGCATTCGTTCTCTTTAGCCTTTCTTGTTCTGGCGTTGAAGTCTTCGAGAAAAAATTTATAATACGCTTTACCATTGCGGATAACTTCCTCCGTCTGATAGTAGAGCGCATTCGTGCTCATCGGCTTCATCAGTCGGTGAGAAGCAATTGATGATTATGATCTTCTTGTGATGCATTAGTTGAAGATGGAAGACGGCCATGCTAGGAGAGACGATCTCGTACGAGTCGACAAGATGGACAATGCACAGGTGGACGACAAAGCCAATGCCGCCCACATTTTGTGACGGGACCTTTTCTCCGCAGATGACAAATGTCCGACTGTTTAGTGTGCGTGTGTGGGTCTTCCTGATTTTTGTTTCTTGCAGTGCTATCACATGAAATTTTATACGATTTGCGGCTTGAAGAACGGTGTAAGGATCAGCGTCCGTGGAGTGTTCTCGCGTTACTCATTCTGAGTCAGAAACAATCTCCACAGCGTCTCTTTGTGTTTTCGTCAGATCCGCTAATAGTGACGTCCTGCGTAACCCGATACTTTGTGGCCTTTCAACAGTCGTCTCACCGCCGGACGTTATAGGTGGGAGCACCCAGTGTCCGGGTACTAACGCTCGCCTATTACTGGTTGGGCAGTTTGATCCTCCCTGAAATCCTGACTTAACCTTCAAACGGCGTATCTAGGTCTTCACTACGATATAGATCTGAAGGAAATATCTTTTCGGCAACCAATTCTTCGCTCGGTTTTCCTACTTGGTGATTCGAAGACAATGTAAAAACCTAAATCAGAAGCGAAAGGAGGAATAGAAAAAATAACCGACCGCTCAAGGACGAGCTGAGAGCCGAACAGTCTCAGCTTAACTGGGTCTAATGCCGATTTGTGCTCACCAGACCATTTCCGCTGACGGGTGAATGTTGATGGCACCCTTAAGTAGAAAACTGGCTGAGAGAAAGGCAAAGCAAGGGCCTCACTCGTGCCGTGTGTAACGCGTGAGTCCCCGAAAAGAGTAATCGCGGTTCAATCTGACCTGGATCGAAGACTTACAAATATCTCAGCATCATAGTAATACTACTTGGTTTAATAGCACTTCTTATGCATGTTTTGCCTGTGATAGAGAAATTTAACCAATTGTTCCGAATATGTTCGAAGTATTTATCGGGAATTACTTTTTTCTTCGATTTCAATATGGAATTATTAGATGGCAAGTAGGTCCTCAGTGATAAATACATACGGCTTTGGTGTTCTGTTTTACTACACTCTTAAGATTGCGTCTTTGAAAACTGAGCATGACTATGTTTTATACTGCTAATATTGGTGGTAATAACACTAAAAGGGTAAAGTATTCGACTTTGATTAGTCTTTAAGGGATGTGCTATGCATTTGGCTTCATGCATGGCATCGCTGTTGAGTGAATATCTGGCGTAAACAATGACTTGCTATGCTTACCGAAGTGTCATGTTAGGTCTTTTATCCTCCCAGAGAAGCCTAGCACAGGTTTCCCGATCCTGAAAAGATGGAAGGCTTGGTGGGCACGGGTCGCGGGGTTGAACTAATGACCACCTGTGTATTTTAATGCTTCTTTAAGCACTACGCTGAATCTTTCAACTTTTTATGAGCTAGTAAAGAATTTGGAGCGGGGATAGGGCAGTGGTTAGTGATGCCGACGATCAGGAAGTAAACGCTCTAGTCTAGTCTCCGCACCAACGCTTTCTTCCAATCCTGGCTATCTACAAGATTGTAAGGAGAATTAACTCGACAACCATCTGTAAGATTCATAAAAAAGACGAAGTTCCAAAGCACCAGCTGAAACAGCACGCGAGTTGTTCGAAGACCACTGAGGGCGATGCATACGAGGAAAACGAATCGGATGCGAGAAGTGTTGGGATCCGCACAGTACATGTGATGACGGGTCATGTAAAATACAGAAAATTAAAAAAATAGAACTCACTGAGATTACCATGATCGACTTTGTGTTAACCTTGGCATTGATCAATAATTCTGTTTTTGATGAGGAGAAAGTCAGAAAAGACTGTGCGTTTGGTCTCCATCAAATCACTACAGGGCTTACAAAGAACGGAACTATGAATGTTCAGAAGAAAAGCTGTTTATCATGGGAAAGATTAATGCACTTAGTTTTATCTGCTGAGATTATGAAAGTGTTTGGTCGAGTAGATTGTTCGTCAACTTGACCTTCCCCGGGTCAATCTAACCTTTCCAGGCTCTCGAAAGGTGAAACCGCCGAAATATCAACTATTATGAGTAAATAGTGTAATAACAACCTCGTGCCCACTTAGTGAGATATCCTGACGAAATAAGATGTCCTTAGGTCTCACATTCATCGAAATAAAGAAAGCTTTCGGTTCTCTTAAGAGGGAAGCTGTCATGGATTTTCAGAACGTAAACAGTGAAGTTGGCCTTGCTCAACTTCTTCAATTATGGCAATTACTGCAATTAGAGATTACTGTTGGCTAGACCGTTCAAGATCGTATCGATAAGAAGACTCGAACAAAACAATGTCATTTCATCAAAATTATTCAACGCCACTACCGAGAATTTCTTTTGTTTTCTATTTTAAACGATCCGTCTTCATATCTACTATGTGGATCCCGAACTCTTCACATTCGAGTCACTTACTCATATCCATCATCCAAAAGGTCATCCAACTTTCCTTGCGTGTGATTTCATCCGTTCCTTGAGGATTTTTTGTCTTCGTCACGAATCTCGTTGTTTGCTGGTCAAATCGATTTTCCATCGATTTTTATTTCCGGACCACTGAGTAACGGGCTTGTTGGGCGAGTTGCGGCGTTGAACCAGAACAGTGATCGTGATGAACAGTATCACTACCACTTCGCTCGCCGCTCCTAATTAGTAAATAATACAAAGTTTATTAAAGTGAATTTAGTGGCATAAACGCATCTCTTCTTTCATTGGATGATATCAAACATAATAAGAATAACCGTTGTTTTTAAATGCTTCGTAACTATTTTTTTATGTAACTCATTCTATCTAAGTTTCGGAAGTGATTCTTTGGTTGCGAACTGTCATAATTAGTCCCATTCCATTCATAACAATGCTTTGACATTTCCTGGTCTTTAGCATTTTCAATGGCCATTGTTAGCTTTTGTGTTCTATTTGCTGAAAGGTAATAATCGAAATCCTTCACCAGCTTTGTTGCTCCTAAGCCGGGTTTTTTTCCTTTTTTTCACTCACGGTCTACACTAATGAAGGGAGCATAAAACACTGGAAATGGGAACGGATTCTGATGTATTCTTCTTTTTATGCTTTCTCCAGACTAAACTATGAAATAATGGTGTTTGTCAAACTAGTCACAATCTAGTTAGTATGAAGTCTCTTGGGTGTGATCGATCTCCTGCTCACACAAGTCGCTATTGCCATTATTGCTGACTAAAACGCTTCATCATTAACTTTTAATTGTTCCCATGTTTTGGTAATAATAGTTATAGTGTTCTACTGTAGCGTAAGCGTACATAGCCAAGTTCCGTCTAAGTATAACGACCTTACAAAACCACGCTTCTATTTCGGACTTACATGTTTTAGGTAGATTTGGTTGGTCGACGAACTTAGACACTTTTAATAGAGCAGTAACAGCATTTTTTGAGGTTGATAAACAGTATTATTCGGTAACATTTCGTTTTCGTCTTCATCAGAACCGACGATCCGAGTCGATAGTCTGCCGTTCTTCTTCATCTCTATGTGGCGTCTTCGCCTTCTTATCGAGTTGTGTCTACCTCAGTGGACCGTTTCCCGAAAAGACTCGGTTCGAGAATCAATATGTGGCTTAAATGGATAGGTTTCACTTAATTCCGGGTTAATTATCTCGGAAATAGGCTCGTATTATCGATTGAAAAGGGTAGCAGCTATTCGCTGTTAACAATAAAAAAACAACTTAATATATGATTAGACAGGCTTAGATTTAGCATCTCATTGAGCTCAATTTACCATAGGATGGAATTAGTCTCTACCATCTAATGCACATTATTCATCGTTTAAGAGGTTCAAGTCCAATACTTTGCAGAAGTTCACTTCCCAATTGAGTGGAGTAAGTCCTCGATGAATAGAACCGAAATGGTTCATCTTTTACAAAAACAAAAAGGTTCTTTTTATGCAATGAATCTTTCTACCCTAGTATTCGGACGATGTGAGGTCCACTGTGGAGCTCAGTTTAACAATGAAGACCACTACTTCATAGTAACGATAAGGTTATCATTCAGATGAAAAAACGCATGTGTGAGTTATATATGATTCGCACTGCAGTTAATTTTTATAAGGAACAGCCATCCTACCGCCGACGATGTAATCATAGGGCATGTCATTATTGCCACCTTAATGGTCACTTTTTGCATTGTTGACATTCGTTCGTGAAGCTACATCTGGTGCACTTTATAACCATTCCTGCCGTTTTGAATTTAGATTTTCTAATCTGACGGATATGAATCCCTGTTTTTTATTATGCTCTTTAGTTCACTGCTTTTGTGAAAATGCTATCTACAGTCAAGCTCATCGAGGTTGGTTGTAGAAAGTGGTTGCGCGTACCCACTGAGTTCTTATCGTAAACAGAATTATCGTAGCAAAGAAAACGAAAATGTGGAACACCGACTGGAAACTCTCATTTTTCCGTCATACTTTGCCTTTCATGTAAATATCATAAAATTTACTGCGTTTGTTCCTGACACGAAAACCTTTTCAGGCGTTGTCTAAGTACATCGAACGGTTGAATGATGTAGAGCCGTTTTTCAGTGATTGTGTTTCAAGCGTGTGTCATTGGACGTTTTCTGTGCAAAACTGGATGAATCGAGCGAGCATTCTCGAATTACTTTTGCTTTTAAGTGCATAATGAATACCGTTAACTATTAAGGACGACATTGATTGGTTTCCAATCGATAATTTTTCGATACAAAACACTGCTGAAAGAAAGGTGAAACGAAAAACTCGTATGGTGTAGTGGTGAACACGTTAAACCCAGGAAAGGATAATATCGTGTTCGATTCCCACACCTGCGGTCCGGAGTTTTTGCAATCCTCATTCGTGTATAGCTTCGGTTTTTTTCTCATCTGCTACTCAATTACACAGGAAGAGTATCCAATGTCAGAGTCTGCAAGAGTATCCAATATCAGAGTCTAAGAGGCAACCCAGGACTAGTTTATCGTCAAAGGTAATAAAAATGAAGAACCTCATATCAAACTGTGATGTATCTGTGTCTGGCGAGGAAACTGTAAACAATTGAGCAAGTCATGTGCACCAACAGGATGAACCAGGACTACTTTTGCGTGCTCAGTAGGTGTCGTAGGCTATACAGGTCATAGTTTCAATATTCTAAAAAAAGATTCACTGTTTTTTCTACGAGCAAACACGGGATTATTGTTACAGCATTTATTTGATAGACGATAGCTGACGTTTTGGAGGTTTCGCTTCTTCCAGAGGCTGAAAAGGTCGAATTGAGACGCAGTCTACTCAGCCAAACACTTTCATAACCTCAGCAGATAAAACTTCATCCGTAAATTTTTGCTGCCATCAATTCGTCAATGTAGAGGTTAAGAGAAAATCGGTCCTAGGAAGTGCTACATAAAAATAATAGGATATTTGAACTATCAGAACTATAATATCATTTGTTTTTGCTTGCTCCAACGTCATTCAATGTCTTCGTATCGTCACTTCCTTTTGTTTTGTTTACTTTACAAATATCGCTTCCGAAATAAACATTTCCCAAGATCGACTCTCTATTAACCTCAGCATTGGATTATAAATGCGTCGTTTTCTTTCTCAGCAGTCGCGGGTTTGTTAAGCAGCGTACGTTTACTTCCATACAATAACACACATACACAACACAATCGTAGCTGACGTCTCGGCAGAATCGCCTTCTTCAGAGCCTGGAAGGGCATAGTGACATGCAATTTACTACGTCAAACGCTTCAATACCACATACAGAAAGATGAGAATCTAAATGGTATTCACATGGCCAACAGCTTCTTGAAAAACCCACCTTTTTTACGTGCCTTCCACTGAGGAGAAGCCGCTGATCAGAGTCGCATATGGTTGACGATTGCATCTCCCCACATCAACGGTCGATACGAAGGTACGGCGCGAGATCACGTGTGATCTCGGGGCATTCCTCCCTACTGTTCATTTTAGGATTTTTGGCATTTATCCAAAAAGCGTTAAGAAGCTTGCGCGCTGGTGTTTTGGCATCCTGTGCGAGGATAGCGACTTTTATATCAAAATCGTCTCCGCTATGCTTTTCTATCCCATGCGTCCCAAGTGGCGTGCCCCTTGTTTTGCTATTGAATGACCAAGTAAGTTACGTATTAGTGTACCCTTCCAGACTCTGAAGAAGGCGATTCTGCCGAAACGTCAGCCACGGTTGTGTTGTATGTGTGTTATTGTATGGAAGCAAACGTACGTAGTTTATCAACCTCTCGATTGCTGAGAAAGAAAACGACGCATTTATAAACAAACATTACTTGACATATGGATAGTTTATATCCATAGCGTAGTTGTGTTTGCATGAATGTGCAAAACTTCAACAACAAAACTAAAGATCTCTGTTTATACAGAACATTATGGACTTCTAGAACTTTTCCAGCTTCTTGCTTATTCATTTTTATATAATGACGCCTAATATAGCTATAGTACATTGCTATTCAGTTTATTAATATTAAGACATGTGACGATTCTTCAGTTTCACTTTAATCACTGCCACGTCACTCCAGTGAGGTCGTCCATTTCGTCACCACTACCCACAGCAATACCGTAGTGTTAACTGTTCAATCTCTACAACTAATTTAAGCCGAATGAAGAAAGAATGCTGAGGAACTGGATTCATCACCTTAAATGAACAAGTCGATAACTTTTCTCAGCTTAGGTAGTCGTGGTTGGAAATTCTGTGTGGTACTCACTTAGTTACCTAGAATCTAAGTGTATATATAGGTAAACGAACCAATCAATGAGATTTCGCTGCACTGTTGTAAAAAATTATGCCAAACAAACAATATATAGTAAAACACCTAGGTGTGAACGTGTAAATTCTGCACAACCTCTTGTCTTTCCAATTTTTATGTCATCTTAATAGTTGCAGTATCAACTGTATTCTATAAGTTTGGTTGATGAGTGGAACGAAAACTCGTCCATGCGGACGAAGTCAGTTGTCATCAGTACGGTGCGAATTGTATGCATAGAATGGATCATTACTAGTAATGCCGAGGTTCGAAAGTTGATTTTTGAGCTGCTGCGAATATTTTGTCCATATCAGTCGATTTCATATTGCTAGTGGTGACTACAAGATCTACTCCATCTTTTTGTTCTGTAATCCTGTAATTCTGTGGTACTGATCGTCGAGTGACTCGAGCGTGCACCAATAAATCTTCCATTTTTCCCTGTCGCATACAAGAGTAGCCCAGCGGGTTCTGCTCGCTCTATGGACTCGTCGAGCATCATATCTTTCTTCAACGCTATTCGTGAAGAATTCTGACCATTGGGTCAGTGGGCTTCCTGCAGTAGGTTTGACATCCCGAGGAATCCAGTCACTAACGGCTCTTGTTCATCGGTTGTCATCCGTACGCATTATGGGTCCGGCCCACCTTATCTTCGACTGTTTGATGTACAGAACAGCACCTTGGTTTTTGATCGTTGACTGACACAGGTCGAAGCTTCGGATCCATTCTCTTAGTTGTGTGACACGGGATATTTGTTTATTTGTGTCCTCTAAAGGATAGATAGTGTGTAGGCCAGCGTCCTGGAATGCACACGAGGTTTTTGGTTTGATCCCACGCACAGAGTTCACCAAGCCTTCCACCAGTCCGGGGTCAGCAAATTGGTGCCAGACTTGACGGGGAAAACACCAACACTGACTCAATATATCGGTAGGCCACCATTAATCACTGCATTGGCCATATATGCACTCAATCACCTCCAGCGATGCTTGATGGAGTCGACTGGATGTGCCAGCCTTCAAGGATTGATAGATGCCGAATGCTTTATCCTTCATCCTTTTTTTTCCGTGTGACCAGTCTTCGGAAATTCTGCGAATCCCAGCTGTCGTTTTAATCGCTTCATTGTCTTGGGTCTATAATCCATGAAAATCTTCGGATTTCCGTGTGGGTTTGCCCAGCAAGCTAAGGCTTTCTCTTCTGTATGAATGTCGATGAATGGAGATCGAATCTATTCTTCGTAGAATTCGAGAATAATTATGCCGGAGCACTTCCAGATCTTCATCGCAGTCATTTGGCGACCTTTGTGGATCGAAGGTAGCTCTTCCAAGAGAAGTCTGGAACCAATTTGCAGACTTCGGATGGAGATGACGCGGAGCATTGTGAAGCCGGCGCCAATTTAATTAATGACTCTATCTTATCTATCTGTTCTGAGGCGATTAAAATTTTTTTTCAAAGATTTCTCTTCCCGTTTCGTATCGATTTTACAGCTGAGCGGCTTAGATTAATGTGACTTTCAACACCAATTTTCGGGTATCACTTTGACTTCCTTGAAATTCCTGGCCTGTAATAAATAAAATATGAATTTTCTTGGAAAGAACACTTATTTTCACCGTTTTTTTCGTAGCCACGTAGAAATTTCGTTTATGGTATTGTTTAATCTCTTTGATAAAAGAATGTTTTGAGTTTTTTCGTTCGTACCTGCAGAAAACTCTCTGGACTTTGATTAAGTAAGTTTAGATGTATTAAACCTACGGTTTTCCCGAAAATATGTTGTAAATAAGTGGCGCATTGGTCGGAGGCGCGCTAGGAGACACACATGGGATCGTTCACCGCGCCCGTGGCTCACCAAGCCTTCGATCACTCCGAGGTCGGCAAATTTTTACCACTTGTCTGGGAGGATAGCAGCACTGGCTCGATACATCGGTAGGCCACCGCGAGTCATTGTAAAGGCTAGATTTGCATTGAATCACCTCCAGTGACGCTTAATGAAGTCGAATGCATGGCACATTCCTAAGGGATTGGTCAGCGCCTAGAGTTTTATTTTTATTTTTTTATATTTTAAATGTGTGAATTATATCCTTTCTGTAGAGAGTTTGTTTTGAATGTTTACTGCTTCAATCCTTTCCTCATCCTTACCATATCTGTTGGACGATGTTCCAACGGATAAACTTGCAGAAATTTTATGTTTGGGAAGTTTCACATGGGATAGTTTTTCGACTATTTAAATACTTAAAATGTTTAAGTAGTCGGAAAAGTAGGTAGTAAAAGGTAAGTAGTGCGGTTGAACAGTTTTTCCTCCTCTATTAGGAGCCATTAGATTCTTATCACGCCAGTACTGCAGTAAATGGAAAAGTTAAACGTCTGGTGTAACGCAGCGGTCAGAAGTGACCTGTGACACGCGTGGTCTTTGGTTCGTTTCTCTGTAAGCTCTGTGCTGTAGGCTAGACAACCCCTATAATGTCACTGTAGTTGGGAAATTGCCAACAGACTTAAAGGATAGCAGCAGTGACTTTTTACATTTGTAGGCCAACAGTTGTTGTCATACTGGTTACATATGTATTTAGTTGCCTCATAATGTCTTATGGGAAAAGTAGTGAACAAGATTGGAATTCCAGGTCTGCAAATTGTTGACGTTCATGTCAGCGATCTCGGCGATTTTTCTCCGTCGCTCCGTTGCTGGGAGTTGGGTGTTCCTAAGCACGGAGCTGTGATCTCCAACGGATGTTCATCAACAGTAGAAGCCTCCTAACTCTGAGCGCACAACTCCATTTGGAGGCCAATTTGAAAGTGAAACAGTGTCGGGAATTACTATCATTCCAGCAATGGAATATTTAATAAGTAACCTTCGGTAACGATCTGGAAAATTCTTAAATCGGTTTTCGAAACTCCTGGAAAAGGAGATCTTTTACAGTAGGCTAACTACCAATCAGTCGGGTACGTATGTTTGACCCACACCATTTTCCATGTTTCATGAAGACAAGTCTTTTTGAGTGTTTATTATGTGTTGTTTTAGGGAAAAATGAGTAATTGCATAATTAGTAACTGTCTATTTTTTAACAAGCCTTACTGGATCCAATTAATTTCTATTCGGCTCGATTTAGGAAAAAAAATTTAGGTTTGAACATCGAAAGAAACGATCTAGGAATGAGCAGGGTACTCCACTTGCTGTACTCGTCATGATAAAAACAACATAAAATGTGGTGTAGCGTTGGCGAATCCCTTAAGAGTACTCTATGCATTCGTCTCCACTAAGTATTCTAGGGTGTGGTTAAAATGCATATTTTGCCTATGTAATACCCTACGTAGGTTTGTCGACGTATCAAGTCAGTATTTTTCTTCTCCCAGACAGGTCTGGTAACAATTCCCCGAATGAAAAGCTTGGGTAATCGAGGCTGCGATGTGGAACCAACGACCATTCACGTCGAATGTTACCTGTAACCACTTTGCTAGACCCACCGCAAATCGTCAGTTCACTAAGTACTTATACGTCATTGACGAAACACAGAACTCTATGTGACATGCCATGTAAACGCTTTTTAACTCCGCTTTTTAACTCCTCCTATGACCGTTTAACGTCCGCTTGAGCGTCGTTAGATTTTTCCTTTCTTTTTTTTGTTCGAAGACCTCCGTGGAAGACGAATGCGAGGAACACGAATGGAATGCAAGAAATGCCGGGGGATTCGTGCAACTACAAATGACATTTAATGCAAATAAACTTTACATTATTGTTATTTGACCGGGGAGTTTTTGTCTGGTGTACATCAACTGCTTCTAACTGCATCGATATTCACATTTTTTCGCAGAAAATATTGCTACATTGTCTGATTAATCACAAAACCCCATGAGATTTAAAACTCAGTACTTTAAGTTCCAGAGAAAAAAGGTTCCTTCGATGTACGGCTGTTTGCAATAAAGTGCATTTTGTTTCTTCATTTTCTTATTAGGTACCAATATTTTCATTTGATGGATTTGCTGCAAATTGTCCGAAATTAATGTTGCTGTTGTGTCTCAGCATAACACTCCAACCAATAACTCGAGAAATATATCCTCGCTAAACTGTTTTAACCCAAGTTGGATCATACTTAACAATACCTTCAGAAGGCTTTTTTAAAATGTCGCCTCCCGATCAAACGGATCCCTTCATCCGTCTGGGTTTGATAGGTGGATACCAGACTTGTCTGGAATGTTAACAGTACTGACTTGGTATGTCGGCAGCCCATCCATAGGTCATTAGATAAGCAAGATGTGCGTTTAATCACCTCTACGGTGTTACGAATGGTGTCGAATGCATGGCGCATCCTTAGGCGGTGATGAACGCCAAACGCTTTATCCTTTATAGAGAGATTTATTCATCTATTTATTTGCTTGTTCAGAATGTACACGAAATATTCATAAGAGGACGAGACAAACTATCGAAGAATGGACGTATTGGTTTCATTTTAGCAAAAAACATGTAGTGACTGTTTTGAAAGCGCGATAAAATTGCGATGTTTTTCATGTGTGAAGGCTATGAAGAAGAGTTTATAAAGCTAGCAGATAATAGTGTCATTGCAAGCGAAGATTTCTGATGATCTTAGTGATTTTACTAAAGAGCGAATACGTTTAAGACGTTATGCAGTTCCGGAAACGGCAGCTTCGATTCTGTTCATCAACTATCTCGTCGAAAAAATCTCGTGTTCTTGGACCAGCCGAAGCTCAAATAACGTTGTTGCGTTTTTGATGATTAATGGAAGACCATGTGTTAACCAAAAGGGTCGCTATTCTTGGTGAATCTTCATATCGGAAGCTAAGTGCTCGAGACGAACTCCTCTATTGATGGCGATGCCAAGCTGCTTAACTGGGTGGCCTTGCTTATTGGGCGTAGTTCTCAATTGCTGTAGGTGTTTAGATCTTGTTATGTATAAAGTCGATAAGCTTTAACAACCTTCAACAGGACTTTTAAAAACGTAGGCGATTGTTTTCGAGTTTTTCTCTATCGTTCTCGAATTCTTATTTTAGTTCTAACTAAATTATGTGCTTGTTTTGAATGAAAAGTGCTAGAGTTGTCACAAGTTTCATAGCGCTTTTTCCGTGAGCTTTTCTTCATTTGAGTGTATTTCACCCACAATGCAGAAAGTGTACTGACTTTCTTAGTAGTTGTTCTTGACTATTCTTCTACAATCCTCCCAACTGTTTACCGCGTCATCGTGGCTGGGAGGTGCTCTTGAGTGTCGGACTGCGGTGTACAGCGGGGGGATTCGTTACCCCGGCAGGTTCTCCAAGCTGAGAAGGAATCCGGCGTTTCCATCAGAAAGCCTAGCTAAGAGTAAACCAATACCAGGATCCACCACCGTCTTGG